TTATATTTGGAGAAGAGGAGTGAAGGGTATATAGAAACTGTTAGTTTTGCAACTTTGGGGGGAAAGTCTGGATTATCCCCTCCCCCACCACCCACAACTTCAGAAATATTCAAAGTAGGGCTGGGGTGTAGCTTTGTGGCAGAAATAGCAAAAAAAAAACAAACAAACAAATAAGCAAACAACAACAACAAAAAAAAAACAAACCCATCTCCTTCTGGTGGTTTCCCCCACCAATCTAATTATACTACTGTTAAGAGAGCCAAAACACACTAGATAGAACTTGGTGATCAGTTATAAGTCCTCCAAACTTCCTCAAAGTTAACAAACATGTAAGCTCAGAAAAAATACCAAATGAGATCAGACTAGATGAACTATAGCATCTTCACTAAACTTATATTAACAATTATGTGATTCTGCAATCTGTATTTGGGGTAAAAATGGGAGTTCATAACTCACTGGAAACTAATGTTTGAAATATGATATGTCAAGAGCTCTGTAAGGTTTTGAACAACCAATAAAAAAAAAATATATAAAAAAAAACCAAAAAAAAAGAGAAGGACTTGGAAAACAAACTGAATTGATCATATTAAATACAGTGAAATGACATAAGCTTAAAATGGTGCTTAAGAACCTACATGTGTTCATGTTGTATATATGTACATAAAAGATATCAAGAATATTAATTAAATATATTATAATCTGGGCTTTCAAAATGCAACTAGGAAACATTTAAAAGGGAGCTCAGACAATCCTAGTCAAGTCTCCAAATTCAATCTATGGAGGTTTCCACGAAGAATTTAATGTAACAGGAGGAACAAATACAGAGGAAATACTTTCTTTACTACACAATACAAACAGAATCTGATCTAAAATTTTAATAGCATTTTAGGCCAAATGTTAGGTGCATCAGAACAGAAGAAATGAACTGTTTAACAATGCTACTGTCAATTTGCCAGCTGTGTTTTTCTTCTAGCGTTAATTCACACTCATAAAAAGATCCCTTGAACATTTAAAGTTCCAGATTTACAAAGTTTAAGAAAAACTGTAGAATTATTTTAACTATGAGTGCACTATCATTAGACATAAGCAAATTCAAATAAAATTTGACAGGTAAATGAATGAGTTTACAGCACTTGGTAAAATATAACTCATAAGCGATTCAATAATAACAACATTAGAATAGGTAACTAAACATTAATTGAGCATTGCCATCTTCCAGCAAATCTAGGATGTGGATCACCAGTTTTCATAGATGAGCAGATTACTAACGTCAACATAAAACATAATGGGCTTAAATGATCAGTAATTCAGATAAAGTTTAATAATAAAAACACCTTTTGGAAAACCTCCATTTGGGTCCACTTCAGAAAGTAACTCAGATCTAACTCCTTTTAAAACAGATTAATTCCAGCACTAAAGACACTTAAACACTAACCTCTTTCAAAATTATCTGCACAAATAAAAATGTGGCTGTCAAAGTCACTTCATTATTTTTTCATTTCTAAAACTTTTTTGTGCTTTATTCTATCTGGGGTACTTTCTTACGTTAGATTCACTAACAATTCCTTCCCATATAACTTCCTTAAAAGAGTTAGGGTTAAAATATCTATTCCAATGTACAAATTACATTTTAATGGTTAAAAATTAAATAATCCAATAAATGAACCCTTATAACTTGAATTATTTTTCTTGGGTTCTTTGATTTTAGAGTTATTAATTATTTAAAAATAATCTTGGAATAGCTATTTTAAAAAAACTGATTTGAAAAATGCATCTCATACATTCAATAGAGAATAATCTCCTTGGTCACTTTTAAGCAGATCAAATAAAATTAAATAAAAATCAAAACTCTAGTTAAATGTTAATTTAAAAAAGTAAAAGTAAAAGAACGATTCAAAATTCTAATTTACCAAAGCTATTTAAATAATTATACTTTGGCCATTCTAAACTGGTTTCATAAAGTAATCACAAAAACTGAGCACATAGAACTTTTATAAGAAAATCATTATTACAAAAATAGCTATTTAATAAACACAACTCTTAAGGTTTAGATCTGGAATGTCCCCTAAGTTTCATGTGTTCAGAGGTGAAGCTCTGAGGAAATGATTGGATCATGAGGGCTTAGAAGATTAATCCAATAATGGCTGAATAAACTACTGGAAAGTGGAACCTAGTTGGAGGAGGTAAGGCTCTAGGGGCATGCCCTGGAAGGGTTTATCTTCTCCTTGTCCACCCCCTGACTTTCAGTTGCTATGAGATGAATTGCTTTCCTTCACCATGTCCTTCTGCCATAACTTGGAGCTGGCTAACCATGAACTCAAAGTTCTAAAACCTAGAGCCAAAATAATTTTTTCCTTTTCTACATTGTTCCTCTCATGTATTTTGATCACAGCCACAAATAGCCAACTAACAATAACGTATAGCCAATTCAATTTGATTATATTAATTCTAATGTCTACAAAACACAATAAAGATGCGTAGCCTTACAAATACTTTCTGAAAAATGAAGATTTAACTGTTAATTATGGAGTACACTCCAAAGCAGAATATTTTGCTTTCCATTCATTTTCAATTAAGTAAATATTTATCACAATGAAGGCAGAGGAGGTTCTCAAGAGACACTGAATAGGGAGTTGGGACAAAAGGAGGAAGAGAAGAGGGCAAAAATATATAAATTTCCACTTGACCAAAAAAAGGAATAATACTTTCTCAACTACACAATAATTAATTCTAGTTTATTATTCTCTGACTTAAAATACTTCAAACTTTAACGATAATAAGTTGCCTTTGGATATTTGTTTCAGGATTATAATAAAAGAGGCCTAATAGATTGTCAAGAGCAGAAACAAGGATCAATTTGAGATAATATGAGTAAATACAACTTTTTTTTCCTTTAGATTTTAAGGAATTTAAAGGTTCATTTTTAAAGACACCAATTTTTTTATTTAAAAATTAAAAATGTTACATGTATATTCTTTTTTAAAATTTCTTTTTAGTTATAGATGGACACAATATCTTTATTTGGTTTATTCATTTTTATGTGGTGCTGAGGATTGAACCCAGTGCCTTACATGTGCGAGGCACTCAGCCACAACCTCAGCCCCTACATGTATATTCTTACAACTTTATTTAGAAAGGTTTTCTCCAAAGTCAATGACTAAACCAACATTAGCTTTATGAAGTTATAGTTTTTTGTTATATAAAACAAGGCCTCTACTTTTCCTTCCTTTGGACATCTCAAATGCCCAGTCAATAATTGTTAAAATCTACATTTTAAAAATTTTATTTTCTCTATTCCAAGTATACTTGTTCTAAAGCATGTTAAAATACTGACTTGACTTGATACTTTCTGTAATGCTCATCAAACCCTGAAAGATTCCCCCACACAGAAACAGAAAAGACCATTTGCAATGAGAACTTTCTCACTGAAATGAGCAGTTTCCTCCCAATGGAAGTAATTTTACAATACCAACTTTTCAAAGTAGGCAAGAAGTTGGCAAGGTGGGTTGGCAGGCCCAGGTTCCTGGGCTGGAATAGACCTTGATCTGTTTCCCAGGCTGAAATTAAGTAATTCAAATCAGAGAAATAAACTTCATTAATAGAAATGCAGACACCCTTTGACTTATGATGGTGTTTTGTCCAAATACAATCATTGTAAAAATACTGTAAGCTGAAAATGCATCATATATACTTAATTTACCAAACACAGGGTTAGCATAATCTATCTTAAATATGCTCAGAACACTTAAATTAGCTTATAATTGGGAAAAATCAACACAGTCTATTTTGTAATAAATTGTTTAATATCTCATGTAACTTACTGAATACTCAACTGAAAGTGAAAAAACAGTGCTTGTGCACTATTGTGAATTTGAAAAATTTTAAGTCAAACCATCATAATTCAGGGACAGTCTTGCATATAGAAATGTTATGCTGAAGCACACGTGTTTTTGAAATCCAGTGTCAGGCACACTTAATAACAGAGACACGTTATTTCCAAAATTATCTACTTTTTTTATTTTGTAAAAGTTTGTTTCTAAAATATTAGATGTGTTCTTGAAAGCCTCCCCCAACACATACAGAATAAAATTGAGGCAGTTATACAATACAGAATGCTAGATCAATACTATTAGATTCAAATTAATTCTATAACTTTTTATAGAGAAGTCAATTGTTTGACTTGATACATTTCATCTTCTGTGTTTGCACAGAAAATTAATATCAAAAGACTGAATACAAAATGTCCTTGCTCAAGGAATCTTCCTTTTTTGGGCTGGCGCTATGTAACAAAGATCATCAGCTAAACACACTGTCCAATATGGAAAATACTAGCCACACATAATGTTATACATTTTTTTAAAATAAATTAAATAAAAACTTTAAATTTAACTTCACAATAACACTAGCCACATTTCAATCTCTCAGTAGTCACATGTGGGCTTGTGGCTACCATACAGGACAGTGTTGATACAGAATACTTCCATTATCAAAGAAAGATTTGTTGGAAAGAACCAAGTTAATCATCATTTGAGTCATTTGTGCCTCTTAGTCCTCTATCCCTTTCCTATCTCCTTAATCAGCAACTAAAATGGTTAAAGTGGTTTTTTTCCCCCTCTGATGAAGAAAGAGCTATATTGACTATATATCTATTTATAGCTGCTTGGCTACATATGTAATTTATACTTGCTGTGAATAAAGGAGTAGTCCTCTTTCCAAGAGCTTAGATCCTTGACTCTTCCCTGCCATGTTATCCAGATAGGACAAAAGGCTTATGGAAGGCTGGCCTATTCCTAAAGAGCTCAGGACCCTGTGAAATCCTATTGATACATCCTAACAAGGTGGTGAGTAAAGTTCAGGGAAGCTTTCCAAGGAGAAAAAAAAACTGAAATTTTTCCTCAGCTGGAAATTATAATTTGATTAAATAAAGCAGTTTTTCAGAAGGAGTAAAAGAACAATAAGAAAACTCACCTGCATGTAGAAAGAGGAGCAAACTGTACACCTTTCTCCTTGCATTCCCTTCTTATTCTTTCTTTTACATTTCTACAGAGATCTACAACCCTAGAAAAGAAAATTGAATAAAATATTTCACTTTCAAATGAAAACTACACAAATTCTAAGAAGTGCTGGTTTATCTGGTACCTTTCATGTCTGTAAAATCTCTTAACCATAAACTTTCATAGTTACTCTTTAGAGTGCACAAAAAGAGCCTTGATCATTCATATTGGGTCCTCCACTCATAACTTTCTTTGTTGCTTTAGAAAAAATATAAATCAGAAGAGTAGACTCAAGTCTCATGAATGGAGTTTCCCATACTTAGGAAACCTAACTTCAAAATAAACTTAATTACAAGATTTTACAAGTTACAAAAAATATGCTAATGAAAATTCAATTCTGGGTTATTCGAATACCAATCTTTATTGATGTCTAAGCAGCTTTCCTTAATTCAAAATAATTCAATCAAAAATAATTATGTCCTATCAAATGTGCCACAGACTATTCTCAAGCTAAAATCCAATTTGACAAAGACTTATTGGATATAGACTGTGTAAAGTGCTAATGTGTTATGCTACACTGTTTGATATTGGGTCAATGAAAATAGGGGATGGGTGGCAATAATCCTTCATAGGGAAATATTTGACAATATTTAACAATGTTCATCTATTTTTAAATTCACCCATATTTAAATGTGAGCTGCAGCATGTCATTGTAACTACATATTTTGTTTTATCTAAACAATAAAACTCCTAAGCCATATATAAACCATTTTATTCCCCTATAAATATCTTCGCCGCATACTGGCAGAATCTGTGTTTTAAACAATGGTTTGTTTAGCACCTAGCTTTCTAATCTTCAAACTGACTCAAATGTGTAGGATCAATAAAAACCATACATCTAAATGGATTAAGCCTTATAAAGCATATTTAAGTTATCTATATTTTCAGTATCAATAAATATAGGATTAAAATATAAATAAGGCTTTAATATTATCATGCCATATTTTTAAATTTTTATGAATACAGCATATGAAAATTTTATAAATTCTAATTTTACAAAATACTGCTTTTAAATTAAATTCTGATTTAATTTATGAGAGTTGCAGATAAATATGATTTACCAGTTATGTATGCCTCATTCATAGAATGGCAAAAATGAATATTTTTAAAAATATAAAGTATTAAAGATTACTGAAATTTGGTTTTTTATCTTGAAAATTCACTTACAAAAAGCTTTCAATACAAATAAAACCTATTCAGCTTTAATATCTATAAAGACTAAGGAATATTATAATAATAAAGTTACTAAATAACAAGTTACTAAAATAACAAGTTCTTTATCTTGGCTTTAGAAAACAATGTTAAGTGTTACTGCCAAGTATTCTAAAAATATTAATACAATTCTTCTGTTGATTGGACTATGTTTCAGATTAAATACATGTAAATATACTTAATTGTCAAAAATGCAATAGGAAACATGGACATGTTAAGAATGGCCTATATCTAAACCCTGGTAAGTCAATAATAAAAGAGATGGTAAGAGGGCTGAGGATATAGCTTAGTCACAAGGCCATGGGTTCAATCCCCAGCACCACCAAAATAAAGAGAGAGAGAGAGAGAGAGAGAGAGAGAGGGAGGGA